CATAGCAATTTCTTCAAAGAAAATGTTAACGAACACCTTATTGATATTGAACAACGAGCAACATAAAACGCCGAAGGAAGGATTGTGCGTAGTTTCCAGATGGACTTTCCACTGATGTCAAAGATTGCCTTTTGTTCCATGTAATATGGGGTGAGGTTTCCCTTTGACTCGCCCTTTTTAGCACATCTTTTCACATGATCATCTGTTTTATTTGAACCTTGGAAATTGAGATTCGTGGGATTATCAGGGGAAACAATTCCGAGTTGGCTCCCTCATTTGAGTTCTGACACCTAGTAGTTTTTGTCTTTATCTCATATCTTTTAAGATTAAAAATTGACCACTGTTATGAGGAAAAACTAGCTAGATATAATTGATTTTAAGATTCTTTAATTAACTGTTGATTTTCATTTTCCTGTACAGATTCTGCATTGTTTTACATGTTGATTGCAAGGGAATGTACAAGAACCAATGTTTGAGCACCACTGATCCGTATCCAAATGTAGTATAGACGGTAGCTAGATTTGACAATAGACATGTTATTCTCCACGTCATGGCATGGCTGCTTTAATTTTTTTTTTTCGATAGTATCTGCAATGTATATTGCTATGTACCTGAACGTTTTTCACTTAAGAAATCTCGAAGACAGACATAAAAAGAACCATCAAACGTGAAGTTTTGCTGTGTGCTTACAGTATATATATTTTAAGATTAAAATACTAAGTCACAGATTGCAAAAAATCTTACTATGATTAAATTAATCTTTACCGATCTTTTATCTTTCCTAGTTCGATGCAAAGTGATAACAAAATTCGATTTCTGGACGTTTTACAAACCTTTCATTTTCTCGAGAAAATCTATTACACAATTAAGCAGAAACAACATTATTGGCAATGAAAAAAATCGTAATCTAACAATGGAAGGGGAGAAAGGTTTTCTCTAGACATGAGTATCATTTTTTACCGAATTAACTTTTCTAACTAGCACATGTTGCAGATGAAAGGTTTCAAGTCTTTTTATATTATCTTTTTTATTAGATAATAATTTATTTAATTTAAAAACTTAAATCATTGAATAAAAGATTAAGTCTTTATCTTTTGGAAAATTTAATTATCAATTGATTGAATCTTAGGGATGTAATTATCAGAAAAGTCTAAACATTTTCAGTTGTGTTAAGGGAATTAAGGGATATACCTCAGACGCTGGTAGCTAGGATGAAGGGGGGATGTGTACCTGTCTTCATTCCTCACATCTCTAGAGGATATATAGATACCTGACCATATCAGGCTTTATTCGAGAAGACAAAAACAAATTATTCTTTTAGTTTCCTCTGGAAAAAAATATTTTAGTCTATTAATTAAAAGACTCTCAACTTGTTCATTTAAAGGAAATCATTCCAGGTCATAGTATTCTCAGTCAAATGCAACTCATTAAAATTTACTCATTCTAGTCTCGCATCTATGAATATTAATCAAATTGACAGATAAAGTTAAAAATCCAACACCTTTTAATACTCAAAGTTAGCTAGGTTAGGTATACTTGATTTTGCATTCTATTTCTTTATTAATACTTCTACCCCAAGTTAGATACTCAGGATTGAAAAAGTTTGTTCTACCGTCTCAAGTTTTTCAAGTAGCTAAAAATAGGATACTAACGACACGAAATAAAGAATTACTATATCCCCTTTTTACCTCTGTCAAATTTTCTCCATACAATTGCAATACCAGGGTTTTTTTCCTTTAATTTTGTTTTACAATTAACTCTGTTTATTACTTTTCAATCTAGCTTAAAACATGTTCTTGAATAGTATAACAAGAAAATGTTTTTACTTCTAACATGTTAACTCCCAATCTTTATAAACAAAAGTGACAATTAAATCGAAATTGATGTAATTCTTGGTATGATCGTTAGAGACTGAGAAGGAAAATATGTGTGACCTGTCATAAAGAAGAAAGTTAAGGGCATTAGAGATGATCTTCAAGACGTGCTCGACGCTCAAATTAATAAATTACATAAAAAAGGTGGGGGGGGGGGGGGGGAGAGTAGGAAGCAAATAGTAGAGTGTGGTACTAGTCGGGTCTGTACCCTTTATGCCTCATAAAACATGAGATTGTTGGTTGAACTGACATGTGTTTAACCTAATGAAGTGACAGTCATAACGCTACATTAACAAATAGAGACAAAGTAATGGACCTAACGGGCTGTGGAAACCAAGAATTTATATAAGGAAATCCAAATTAAACAGGTTAACATGGAAGACAGTTAGACAAAGTGACAATAATTAGATGATGAGAAGATAATGCATGCATGCTCTTAATCCAAATCCAACGCATCTTTGCATCAAATTTGGCGCCCATTGTGAGAAAAAAAGAATATTACGTCTCTCCTCAAAAGTCTTTGCAGATTTTTGACCTATAGTGTGACTTTAGCGGGGAGTATATTGGAATCCGATCTTGCCAATTACTGCGAAGGATAAGGAGGATCTGAAAGTCGCATCTCTAACTTGGGATACCCAGTTTTCCCTATTTGAAAATACATTCTATGGAGTAGAATATGTTATTGGATTGAGACACTTATTTTTGAAAGAAGAAACCCCTGTTTTCTGTATCGTGAGCCTTGATCGCTCCTTTTATTACAGTTAATATGTTTTCTGATAACGTATATATTATATGTTCTTTAAAATTAACCTTGGAAGATTAACATATTAAAAGAGCTTTGTTCTGGGTACTTCATGTTTCATCATCATTGTCTTTTCTTAAGCAATTCATCTTAGAATGAGGATTTAGAGTAAGGCTATAAGAGTTTCTTTTATTAGTCACATGGATTACCTAAGCAGAGACAATACTCCTTGATTTCTCGATTTAAGTTCAATTTTATGTATATTATTTTTTATATTTAAATAAAGAGCAAAATATTAGTGGTATTTAAATTCAAAATTTAATTCAATTAACTTATATAATTATTTTTAAATAATAACACCAAATAAATCTAAAATTTAAATCTCATTACCCATAAGACATCCTCAAGTTGTCATTTTTTTATATAAAAAAAATACAAATGGTGTTTATATTTATGTAGGTCCCTTTCGGGTCAAAGCATATATGCTGCCATGTTAATTAGAACTTCGTGTGATTTTAATTACGACTAAGTAGGTCTTCCTAGTGAATTGTTTTGTTCAAAAAAGCATGCCTATGTGTCCTTCGCACATGCAACCCAACATTCCTTATTCCCCTTCATTTTATTTGAGTGTGTTCATACATAATAATGTGCAACAAGGATGCTCCAAAACTTCACAAATGCTTAAAAAATAGGAAAAAGGCATTCCCCATGGGATTGAAAAAGATAAAAAAAGCTCACATTTTAGCTTCAAAAGCTGAGAAAGCTTGTGGAACTTATCATTATATTTGGCTTAAATTGGATGCACATGGCTGAGATTATGATATTCCTTATAATTTTTGTTCCACGTAAAAAGGCTCCATCTGCAGTGGTCTAGGGCAACACGACCCTTTCAATGTAGGTGAAAACTAATACGTATTATAAATATATATATATATATATATTTGTATAGATTGTGTTGTTTTCTGTCAGAAGGAAAAAGCTTTAAGACTTGTATTATAAGCCAGAAAGATAAAAGGTCGGTAAAAAATATACATGTAGAAATGATGGGTATTGACAATTGAATAATCATGGGAATCATAATTGGATTGTGATCATGCATTAAGCAATCATATGGTGCAGGTTACAAACCTTTTCGAGTTTGGATAAAGTTATATTCAGAGTCATGCATACTCATAAATACTAGTGATTTTATGAGTACATTCCATTATTAGTTCCTGATTCAACTGAGACTCTCTCCTGCAAGCTTGCGTATCAGAATCTTTGGAGAAGATATTAGAAGTCTCAACTCATTAGAAATCAAGAGAAAGAAGTTGATGGGTATACAAGGAGCACATGTCAAAACTGCTGATGTCAATCATGGGTATATATTAAGTTATGGAAATGAAAATTGCTAGAAAGTTCATTCAAGGAGCACATGTCAATCATGGGTATACATTAAGCTGCTGATGAGCCCATGATAGCACTTACTCAGTGGACAGGACTGCAGGAGAAACCATCAGAAAGTTTAATCTTTTGGCCCTAGGGATATAATTGAACTCCAGGCAGATGAATGATGAGTTCTCAAAACTCATAAATACGGGTCAATCAATTTGTATCTTTGCCAAATTCATGCCAAGGGGTGCCCTTAAGTGGCACAGGTCATCTAATTATTGAAAATTGAGTTTTAAGAAGGAATACCTCTCTTATTCTAGTTAATCAAATTGAATTATAAGCAAAATGGACTAAATATTTTAAGTTCTTTTAAAAAGAGGTAAAACTGGTTCGAGGAAGTTTGGCATATTAAAGAAAGCTTTCATGGTGTAGTTAATGCTTTCATTCTCAAACATCATCACCTAATTAGAAAAGTGATTGTATTGAGTGATTCATAATGAAGGGCAGCTGTGCTCATGCGAGTTTATGAGGGTCCAATCAGAACCAAGGTCCCACACTAGGATCATTAGCGAGCATGGGAGATTGCTCTCTCTCACTCATAATTTTGGATTACATAACCATGAAATGCATTTGAAAATTTCTCCAAGGCCAACTCTGGTAAACAAGAATAAAACGGGGAGAATATCTCCTTTTTCTTTTCCTTTTTTTTTTTTTAGAAAATCTCCTTATTTAAACACCCAACACGAAAACGCCCCATAACCAAGGCCAACTATCATTCTCTTCTTAAAAATCACCAATGTAATACTGCTCTATTCCATTCAAGAGAAGACCAAGAGCTTTCTTCCTTTTTACTCTCTTTCTTTCTGTCTTAGAAACCGGAAAAAAAATATAAAACAAAAATAAAAAACTGTCCTTTAAAGCCCCAGAGAGACAGACAGTTAAACAAAGGCAGAAACACAAAAGTTATTTCTTTCATAGCAGCCCCTATCAACTCCAAAGCTTTCTTTATCTTCATGGACTGCAACAACTCAAAAACCAACTCGCCTTCCTCTTCTAAAAACAAAAGAAAACAGCACCAGCGACCTCAGCCGCAACAACAGCAACAAGAAACAAGATTCTTGGGAGTAAGGAGGAGGCCATGGGGCAGATATGCAGCGGAGATAAGAGACCCTTCTACAAAAGAAAGGCACTGGCTTGGCACGTTTGACACTGCCGAGGAAGCTGCCTTAGCCTACGACCGTGCCGCTCGCTCCATGCGTGGCTCCAAGGCTCGAACCAACTTTGTCTATTCTGATATGCCAAATGGCTCATCAGTCACCTCCATCATCTCCCCTGACGAATCACAGCATGATATGTCATCCATTTTTTCCATTAATCCCTCTTTCCACCAACAAAACGAAGTCAAACAGAACCAGCTTTTCTTCAGTCAAGACCCTTTCAATACATGCCAGTTTTCTTCCGGGTTACCTCCTGGAGACGAGTGGAACCAAGAGAGTAGTGATACGGTAGGGTCTTACAGGCCCATTACTGGTGTTATGGATGCTGGAAATGGTGGTTCTCAACAGTTCAGTGATGACTGTGAGCTGCCACCTTTGCCTCCAGACGTCTCTTCCACTCGTAACGGGTCTGGAGTTGATGGTTCGGAAATGAGTTATGGAGCTTGGAGTGACACAGGCCTTTTCGGGTACTCAGATCAAATCGAAAATGGGTTTGACTCAAGAGTGAGTGGACCATATTTGGGCTTTAACTCTTACGAGTTTGTGCAGCACAGCCCACTCTTTGGGAGGATGCCATCGGTTACTGATACCGTAACTGATGAATTTGATTTGGGTTCATCATCGGGTTACTTCTTTTAATAGCTGTCACAAAAACAATAAAATATAACTACTACTACTAAAAATTATCAAGAAAATTAATGTGTCAGTTTAGTTTTGGGGTCTTTGCTGTTAATGGCTTTCTTATTTTGATGATTTTGGCGGGACGTAAGTAACGGTTTCTTGGGTTGTTGTTGAATTTGGGTCCATTTTGGAAAAAAAAAAATGCCCTCCTTCCAAGCCTGTTTTATTGTTCATGTCATGCCTCTTAGTCAATGGTGTAGGGGGTGGGGGGCAGATAATGGCTCTTTTTTGGAATGTAAATATAAAATGTGCAATGATTTTGATTTTTCTATAATCAAGACCAGCAGCTTGAGTGCTTCTGTTTTGTTTTACTTTTTTTTTTTTTAAATTTAAATAAATCTGACAATGCTTGAATAACTAATACTAGTGGAAGAAATTATAGTATCCAAATAAGTCAATAATGCTTGAAGAACTAATCGTAAAAGTAATAGTAGTAATAGTATGAATTATGAGAGTCAATATGTTATCAGAAAACTCCTTTACAGTTTTCATTCTTACTTTTTAACAATTAAATGGCAATGCTGTATGTTATTACATGTAGGATTTCGTTAGTGAATAATGATAGTGCCATTCCAAATGAATGAAATGGTGATGAGAGTGAAACACGTATTTTCCATTTTTGTCTCAAACACTATACGACTATAATATTTTGATAGATCATAGATCATTTGTCAGTTGTCATCAAAAGAAGAAAAAAAAAAAAAAAGCAAAACCGTTGAAGTTGTTCTGGTTTAGAATCCTAATGAGTAGCTTAATTGTTTCTGCCGATCTTCATAATAGGCATGTGCTGCAATAGGGTGCCGCAATCTAAGAATTTAAAGATGACCTGAAACATGTATAGTAGTGGCTGTAATCAAATTGGTTTAGCTCCACTTTCCGAATAAGAAAGACAATCAAACCATTAAAGATTTGAGAGTCTGCCGACTACAACCTTTTTAAAACAAACAATAAATCATAGTTTCCTGGGAGCATCCCAGTGTAACAGTAAATCAGAAATGAGGATGTTCACGAAAAAAAATAAAATAAAATAAACAGACGCGTTTTTTTATTGCATGAAATGAAGCTACTTCCATCTTGTTGACGCAAACACCAATTTCTAAATACACCGACGGTGATTTGTAGAAGACGTTTAGTTTATAGAATTTTAGATTTAAAGGATAAGTGATTTTAAAATAATATGTGATATATAAGTGATTTTAAACAAAATATGTGATATTCAAAGTAAATAAATGATTTTTGTATCTTATTGACTTCAAGGAATATATTTGTGTTTGGTTTTTAGAATCAATATTATTTAATGAATTTTTTTATTATATTATTATTTTTATAATAAATAATAATTAATATTCATAAAATTATTTATTTAATATTTTTATAATATATTTATCAACGCATGAATAATCGATTTATTTAATATTTTTTTAATATATTTATTTATTTATTTATTTTGAAAGCAATTCAATTAAATTAATTTATATATTTATATAACGCTAAAAATGTATATCAATTTTATAACTCCTTAATACATTAATTCATACCTTGTATATAGAATAAATATACATAATATTACTTACAGTTTGATGCATCTAATTTATCCAATCGATTACGTGTGCAAAATACTAAATTTCCTAGTACATAATTCTATATTAAACGACGTTTATTAAGAACAATCATCATCTAGTTGAATATAGAGGACGATTGTTGCTAACTAACCGTCGTTTATGTTTGTATAGATGACGTTTATAAAAAAAAGCTGTTATCAAATTATTTAAAGGGTTAAAATAAATCTAGTTAATGTATTATATATTTTTTATTAATTTAGTTTTTTAAAAAATAAAATTATATGTTTGATACCCAAATTTTTATTTATTATCTATTTTGTTACTTCAAACTAGCGTCGATAGTTAACTTGTTGATATATTATGAATAACCAATAAAATTTGGACACATGTTATAAAAAAGTTCAATCAACTCTATATCATCAATTGTTATATTACTATTAATAAAAAAATTCAAAATTTTTTTAAAAAATCTAAAATATTTTTAAAAAATTATAAGAAAATAAAAAATATATGAAATATTTTAAAATTTTAAAAACTTTATTAAAACTTAAAAAATTTGGAAAAAATCTCAATAAAAACCAAATATTGAAATTTTTTCTAAAAAATCAAACAAATGAAAATTTTAATAAAAATAAAAAATTCTTAAAATTAAAAAAAAAAGATTCACAAAAACTTAAAAATTTAAAAATAAAAAGAATTTAAAATTTTTTGAAAAATTGAAAATTCTAAATTCTAAAAATTTTTTTAAAAAATCAAAAAATTTATAAAAAAATTAAAACTTTAAAAAATTCTTAAAAATTACAAAAAATTGAAATTTTCTAGAAAATTATAAAAAATAAAAAATTCTAAAATTAAAAATAAAAAAGTTAAAATTTTAATAAAAATCCAAAAAGTTAAAAATATATTATAAAATTCATAAAATATATAAAAAAAATTGTAACATTAAAAAAAATGAAAATTTTTCATAATTTTTACAAAATTTTTTATAAAATTTTAAAAATTTTTTGGATTTAAAAAAGAAAGATTTTTATTACTTTCAATTTTTAAAAGTTTTTATGATTTTTTTTAATTTTAAGAAAATTTTATTTTTATTAAAATTTTATTTTTTTGAACAAAATTTTTTTGGATTTTTTTTAAAAATTTTGAGATTTCTTGAATTTTTTAAGTTTTCATATATATTTTTAAAATGTTTTAAATATTTCAATTTTTTAAATAATTTTTTAAAAATATTTCAGATTTTTCAAAAAATTTTAAAATTTTTTGGAAATTTTTAAAAAATTTCTTTTAATGTTGTTGTGGCTATTGATGATTTGACACTGATAAAACTTTTTTTTTACATGTGTTAACATAGTTTTGGATATTTATGCCATATTAACAAGCTAATTAACAACATTAGTCTCAAATATAAAAGTAAATGACAAAATAAAAGTTAGAGTATCATATTAAAATTTTTATTTCTTTAAGCACCAAATTGAGAGAAAATATATAATACAAGGGCTATTTTATATTTAACCATTATTTCAAAGACTCAAAGCAGAGTAAAGCAAGAAGAGCAAAGCAACTGAGAGTACTTGTATTTAGAACATCAACCACACGAAATCCCAAGAATTGAAAAGCATCAAAGATTGAAACCATAAAATTCAAGAATATCAAAAAGGAAAAGGTTGATACAAAGATGAAGGATGATGAAGAGGAAAGTAAGTTTTCTTTAGTTTTTGAAATAGAGGCAGATTTGATATGTGTTGAAAGTGAAGAAGATGAAGTTAGATTTAGGTTTCGATTCGGGTCTAAGGAGTTTTTTTTTTTTTTTGCTTAGCCAATCATTTTCTTTTTATTAATGAAAGCATACAGATATAGCTGTTTTCACAAGTTCAACTGATAATTCTAGTAGAATATTGCACTGCATGATTTCAAGCTAACCTTAGAATGTTTAAACAACCTCATAGCCAAGCTTGGAAAAGTTATGGTGAATCCACTTAGGGTTGGCAACGAGTCAAGTCGGAGCAGGTTTTTGTTCGTCTCGAACTCGATCCGATTTTATAACAATAAAATCCGAATTTGATCAAATCTAACTCGAAATTAATAAAATATTATTTTTTTAAATATAAAATATTATTTTTTAAATATAAATATATAAATATATATTAATAATTAAAAAATAATTTTTTATATAATATCGGATCGAGTCGGATTGAATTTGCCTAAAATCCAAACCCGATTTTTTCTTAATAATGCACGATCTGACCCGATCTAAAACCCGATTTAAAAAAAACAAAAATTGACCATAAGGGGTCGGGTCGGAATTCGCCGGTTGGGGCTGCCAACCCTAAATCCACTCCCCTTTTTGCCAATGAGTCTGCAAATCCGTTTGCCTCTCTATAAACATGCACAAAATATACTTGTCCTATTATCTGCCTCAATCTATCTATTTCGTTTAGTTCTTTCCATTGCCTCCAAAGTGTTGATTCCTTTTTTAACGCCGAATTTATCATCACTTTTGAATCAAATTCTATAACTAAAGTCTATTGCTTGCACCATGTAGTTCCTGTAAATAATTCCACTGCTATCTTAATCGCCAGTAGCTCAGCCTTACTTGGTTCTTGTATTCCTAGTGGACTGTAGAATATGCCTCTGATATTTTCAGCTGCATCTCTGAGTAACCCCCGCATCCAGCTTGACCTTGCTTCCCTCTAACCGAGCCATCTACGTTAAATTTCATCACATTGTCTTCCGGACATTCCCACTTCACCCCCTCCCTGCTTCTAATTCTACTATCTTCTTCCTAGGATATTGTAGGATTCACCCACCACTCTGATTCTTTTAATTCGCCACCTACTTCCATAGCTTTTATCCACAGAAATAACCTTAGTTTTACCAAAAACAAAACGTCGTCCCCATTCCACTTTTTATTCTAAAAGACTGTCTCGTTTCTTCCCAACTAGATCAACCAAAATGTAGCACTACATACTGCTAGCCATTTCATTTCAGCACCCCCACAAATGGCGTGCTAATGCATTGGTTTAACATATATATTCTACTATTCTTGGTAAAACCCAACGTAATCCCCACCATTTTAAAACTGAACACCAAACAGCCCTGAGAATTTACACCATACAAGAATATGTGCACAATCCTCCTCAAATGACTTGCACCACTGACACAAGCATTGATCTCCTATATTTACACCTCTTGATCTTAAGAAACATTTAGAAGGAATTGAATTTTGCACACCTAGCCATAGAAAGTTTTGTACCTTTGGAGGAACCTTCAGCATCCACATTGTGTTGAAACGTCCTTGCTAATCCGTCGTACACCGATTTCCATCCAGTATTGATATTACGTGTTTTATCGAATAGTTTCCCTTTCCTTCTGCTTCCCAAACCAGTTTATCCCCTA